TTCCCCCCCGCAGAGGATAATTTTTTATGTTATTACTGAAAAGTTTTTTTTTTTTTTTTTTTTTTTTTTTTTAAACTAATCAAAGTTGGAAAATTGACTCACCAGCTTTGCACGGGTCCTTGTAGTCGATGCTCTCCACTTTTTCCTCTTCATAATAATCAAATCCGGGCTCCTCGTAGTCGAAACAGTTAGAAATAGAAAGTTTCCCCCAGAAAGTCAAGCCCGCAAGCATCAGTGTGATCCAGCGCATCTTAGCGGCCAGTGCCAAGGGCACTCGGTCCATCTGCGGACTGAAGGGAGCAATAAAATAAAATAAAATATATATTTTTAAAAAAGGCCTCTCTGTTCGTCTCCTCTTCTGCTTGGAGATGGACGGCTGGACTTTAAAGGGTCATGGTGATGGTCGCGTAGCTCTATGTCGGCGAGGAGTTACTGCGCCCCGCGCGTCTTCATGGCTAACCGGAGCATCCGTGAGTCGCTCAGCGCCGAGGAGCTCCGCGGTCCTCCGTCGGGGCTTCGCAGGTGAGACTGGAGTGGGAGAAAGAAGAGAGAACGGCGGTGAGGTGGTGAGGACGAGGCGGCCTCTGAGCGTAAAGACGCGCCGCGGTGTCTCTCTGCTGCGCGGACACAGGACTGGACGCATCCGCGTCGCATAATTCCCAGCCTGCCCCGCACTGATGTCGCTCCCTCTCTGGGGTTCAGCCTCTGCTGTCTCTCTCAGGCTGTGTCAGCGCACCGCCCTCACACACACACACACGCACGCACGCACGTACCGCCACCACTGCATACCTGCACGCTTTCAAAACTTTCTTTTCACTTCTTTTGTTCTCATTCAGAGTTTCTGCGGCTGAATTCACCCAACAAAGGAAAAAAAGAGGGGGGAAAGCAGGCGCTCTTCCTTCTCTGATCTCAGCGCATCTGCAGGAGAATAAGCGCGCTCTGGTTATTACAGGGCATTGGGCCCAGACCCGCAAATTAAAGACTGCTTGCGTGAATTAAAAACCGGTAGCGGTAAAAGTAACAGGACCTCAGCAAATTTGCCTGCGGGTTTTCTGGTTATTTAGAGGAAACTGCCAAGTAGGTGAGAGCAAAACCATAAATGCTCAGAGATGCATATAGGAAATGTAGCTACGGCGTGAGAAGTCAGTCTTTTATTCCCTCCTTTTCTCCTCATTGTCATGGAAGAAGCAAAAAAAACCCAAGTATTCCACGCCTAAAGAGGGAGGACAGCTGAAAATGGCAGTAAAGTGATCAACATCCCCAGATTTTGAATTTTATCATCTTAATGAAAAACCAGACGACACCTTCCAAGAATAATGGCCTAAGTCATTTTTTGCCAAAAGTGTTTGTTTTTCCTTCTTCTTCTTCTTCTTCTTCTTCTTCTTCTTCTTCTTCTTCTTCTTCTTCTTCTTCTTTTCAAAAATCTTCACTTTTTGACGAAAGATAATTTAGGTACATAAAACCCGTCTTTTGGTAAAACACAAACAAACAAAAAAAGACTTCAGCCATTATCTTAGGAAGGTGATAATATGTATTTTCATATGAATCTTGATTTCTGATTTTGGATAAATGAACTCCGATTGGTGTTTGACTGATCAAATCTATTAATTGATAAAATGATCAATTTTTCCTCTGTTATTAAATGAATTGGACCTGTTTGTATTTACTTTGATTCAGTTTTTTTGGAACTTAATGAAAATCTGATTTTAATGGTAAATGACAAAGATGTAATTCTTTCGTTGCCTGCTGGATTCAAAACAGTTCTGTCAGCCAAAGAATAAGCAGCATATTTGTTTCACTTTTATGAGTTAAAAGTCCTTGAAAATAGAAACAAATGGGAATCTGTCCAAACATCAGACCTGAAAGGAAACATGAACATTTGTATTAACCAGGAAAAACCTGACTGGTGCATCTCTTATTCACTTTGTGTGTTTTGTGTTTTATAACAAGTGATACAAAAAGACAGCTGAGTGTCATTTAAAATGCATATAACATAAGTATTTTTACCATTTATTGTTTAATTTCTATCATTTCAGGACTGCAGCAGAAATGTGGTGTTATGCAGAGCTTCGTTTCTCTTTGCTGCTGTGAGAAACATGAAAGAAAACAGAGGACAGCATTCAGTCTGAAGGAGCTGAGTGGTGAAGACTTCATAACATAACGTGCCAGGATAACAAAGTACAACCACACGACTGTATCAACATAAAAAACTATGTGACATTAGAAAAAAAGTATCTTCTTTCCAAGCATCAAAAACATAAACATGGAGTTAGCAAGATGTTCATAACATTAAGAACTTTAACCACAAATATGAACTTAGACTAGATGAGACTGAAATGGATGTTTTCATCAGTCAGTCCAGGTTTGGCATTAAAGGATGTGGATCAATTCTGATGCTGCCTGTTAAACCCGGTGGAGGATGTGTGGTGCTGTGGGCCGCCGTCACCTGAAGAGGGGTCTGCAACCAGCAGCAATCGGAACCACAAGTGGACACTCCAAAAGAGATCTTAATAACTTTGGCCAAAAATGAAAAAAAGAAAAATAATAATAACCAAATAATTTATTTAAATACAGTTACAGCACTAAATGCCAGGTTTAACTTAGTTTCTAAATCTATTCCTCCTCGTCTTTATGTTGACTCTTTGGATGGTAAAGCCTGCAGAACCTCTGCTAGATGAAACCATGGACTCTCTGGGATTCTGAGTAAAACTGCTGTAACCTCTGACAGAAGAAAACGGATCTTCTCACCGGGACTTTGAGGAGAATCATGAGAAGAGGGATGGTTAATTGGGCATAAAATTAGCTTTTCTTCTTCTCTGAGTCCATCTGTGGTTGCACTACTTACCTTGGAGTCTAAGCTGCTGTTCTACCAGGTGAATTTGAAGGCTTTATACACATTTGGGTTTTTTTTTTCCTCGGGGTTCCAATAAATCTGTCAGCTTTACAGTAAAACACTTGAGCCAGTTCGGTTTAACTTGCATCCTCCTCTGTTTGCATGAATGCGTGAACATTAACGCTGTTGAAAAGCTCATTTCATTACAATTTTATGCTAAAAAAAGAAAAATGTCCCAATCTTTCCACTGCAGCTCTCTCTCACACACACACACACACACACACGCACACATACAAACACACACAGGAGCAGTACTAGCAGCAGTTGTTGACAGACAATCGCTGCAGCCTGTGAACACCTTGCCGAGGTAAATCCTCCGCAAACGAGCTCACCCTGCGCGGCTCTGCAGCTTACCTGCTGCTGCCTTCACCTGTCCGGGGGCGCGTCGCCTTCCCGCGGAGCTTGCATTGGACCCTTCATGCTGGGAGCTTTCCCTGAGGATGGGGGGACCCGGTGGGGTGGGGCGGGGGGTTGGAGGGGTCACTCGGTACCCACGGTTCCGACCGTGTCCGCTTCCCCCGTGTATCACCGGGGAGATTACCGGAGCGCTGTCTCTGTCCCTCCTGACTTAATCCTGCCCTCTGGGAGAGGTGACGTCACGCCATCAATCCATCCGCAAGCTGTCCACGTCCCCGCAGGCATGGACGCAAATCCCCTGGAGGCAGCGCGCGCACACACATACACACACACCGAGACACGCACACACACAAATGCGGAGTTAATTTGCTGCGGGTCAACACACTTCTGATCTTTGTCCCCAAAATAAACCTCGACGAGTCTCTGAAGGAACCAGAACCAGAACCAGGACCAGGCAGCAGGATGGAGCAGCTTCCTGACGCTAACCGTGTTTAATCTCTGAGAGAGAGGAGAGAGTTTATTCAACTACTGAAAAACTTTTTTAGCTGTGGCATTCTGTTTTTTTGTAACTGTTCAGAAAGGCAAAACTAATCATGGTGTCGGCCGTCACCAGCAGGGGGTGCTAAAGTACCAGTGCTGAGGTCAGCAAAAAAGATCAGCTCTGCAGCGCCTTACAAAAGTGTTCACTCCCCTTGGATATTTATTTATTTATTTATTTATTTATTTATTTATTTATTTATTTATTTATTTATTTCACATTTTGCCCCGTTTCTACTTTCTCTGTTGTTTGGGATTCTTTGTCATTCACAAACACTGAAAAGTGCATGTTGGTGTTATGGAAGAAATATGATGCGTGATGTTCTAAATCTGGAAAGAAAAAAAAAAATCAATCTCAGAATTTTGATTTTAATCTCAAAATGTTGTCTTTTTCCCCTCAGGATTTTGACTTTAATCTTCTAAGATTAAAAGTCAGAATTCCAAGATAAATGTCATTAATTCTGCGAAAAAAGTCAGATTTTTTTCCCCACTAATCTTCTTCTGTATTCAGGAGTAAAAATTGGAACCGTTTATTCACGTTTAGCCACACAAAAAGGAATTTGACTTTGGTTCCACTTTCTTCTCAATAAAGACATTTTAAATATGAGTAAGAAGAAAAGTTAAATTTTTAGAAAATAATTCAAGCCTCATCTTTGGGGTTTTGTCTCGACCAGTTCTGGACATTTCACTCATTTCCTATTTCAAACTCAAGCTCATTCAGACTGAACAGAGTCACTTTGGACTGACATTTTGTTTTGCCACATATTCTTAATTGGACTGTAATCAGGATTTTGACTGGGCCATCCTAACACATTTCATTTCAGATCTGGTTTTGAGTTCATGTCTAGAGCTTCCTTCCAAATCAAGTTTTTCAGGTCTCCAGTGAGGATTGTATTCAACTCTGTCCTGCTGATCACAGCCTCCCCACAGCATGATGCTGCCTTCATCATGTTTCATGGTCAGGGTGTCTTCAGAGTGAGGTAACATTTATACAGAAACCAAACAGTTTGTCAAGTCCATTTTTGTTTACAATTTATTGACTTTTTTCATAAATGAAACTTAGAAAACATACATTCCAACAAACGTTGAACACCTCTCATCCACAATCAACATTTGGGCTTTAAAATGAAATTCAGCTAAAAAAAATGAAAATAAAAACAAAGAGTGGTGTAATGAAGAGTTCTTCATTAATAGGACTATTTTTACTTCAGCAATTTATTAAAACTATAAGTTGCACTTGATTTGGCACTTTACTGTTTTAAGTATCCATGGAATATTTATTGAATGTTTTAATAATTAGCATGTAGCGTTTTGATGCAGGTTCTGCACAGCTGCTTGTCAGCGAGGTGGAGGAGAGGATAACTGTTACTCAGAGCAAAGAGCTGCTGGTTAGTAAATCTTAAGCAAATGTTTTTGTTTATTTATTTATTTTTGTGGAAGCTGTTAAGTGTGGATACAAAATTGAAGTGGAGGTGCTAAGAATGACTCACCTGTCTGTGTTTGGACAAATACTTCCCTGGGGGTCCAGATGCCATTTATATGTTCTGAGGGAGGCCATGGAGAAGTGGGGGAAGGTTTTTTGTGGTGTTTCATAAAGGCGCTTCTGCTGTAAGGATAAAACATAAAATATGTATAAAAAGTAAATAGGACGTATTCAGTAAATGTCTTTGTGAACTGGTGAAGTTCCCTGTGAATTGAAGGGGACTTCACCAGTTCTCAGGTGAATTTGATGATTAGTTCAGCTGAGACTATTTAAAGCTGCGGTTGTATGTTGTAGTGTTGTTGTAGTGATGAATGAACCTTTACTGCCTCGGCATTTGTCTCCAAAGGACCACCTTGTTACAGGTAAACACATGCATAAATATACAGATAAATAAAATACAGTTTCAATTATTCAACTCCAAAGCCTAGATAAAGTATCACT